AGAGTGTTTTTGATAACAAAGAGAAAAAGATATATGAGAGAGATCAAACCCTTGTTTTTTATTATTCTTTCTTGTGCTACACTCATCTTCTTCTTTACATAAACAATAGACATATGTACATAGGGAAGTTGATTAGTGTCACATTAGAAACACTTGTATATGGCTAAAGATTCATTAGTAGCACTTATATGTCAAGTAATGATGTTGGCACTTGTTTATGTGATGAATAATCACCAAAATATAACAGAAGCCATATAATTGTTTGCGAATCAAATTTTCATTTTTTTCATTTTGTTCAGTCCAAGTTGTTGTGGGTATCACCCATTAACTTTATGAATTAATTACTGGATGTTTTGACTAAACTTCCCATGAACTCTGTTTAATGATTTTTCAGTTAAAGATTGGACTTTAGAAAATGTTACATTTTGAGACAATATATTAATATAAAATTGTGACCATCTGAAAAGATTTAATCTCATTGTTTAGTTGAAGATCTCAATTACATCTTCTTTATATACAGTTCACGATATCTTTATTTATTTTCTAGTGAACTTTTTTTTTTACATTTTTGACTGTCAAGCGCTACCAACAACTTTTATATTTTGTGTGTTTTTGGTCTGAATCTAATAGAATAGGAAAGCAAATATTCTTGTATATAATTTAGGATCTCATTGATTAGTCTCTAACTACTAGTCTCTTAAGCATTGTGTATATAATATGTGTTAACTAGATATGTTTTTAATCGAAATTAATATTTAGACGTGTATTCTAATATTTATAAACGTACAAAAATGATATATATTGTGCATAAATATAATAAAGTTAAATTTTGATCAAACATAAATATATTTGATCTTTGTTAAATTTTGATCAAACATAAATATATTGTGCATATCTTTGTTATTAAAAATAATCATGAATTTTTGTTTCTGAATATTATAATCCCGCGTTTGACTCGGATAAAAAAATCTAGTAACTATTAAAAAGAAATAAAATATTTTCTATATTCTTTAAATAAAATTCTCTATATTAATTACCACATATTTGTTATTTCCATATATTTTTCATTAATAATTTTTATTAGTAAAATAGTTTTTTAAAATCCTTTTTACCTGACACATAGGATTTTTCATCTAGTGTCTCCTCTATTAATACATCGATTGGATTTAACCTAATCAAATAGAATCCGCGTTTGAAATGATTCTACTTTTAGTGCGTTTCATTTTTTTGTGTTATCATCCTTTGTCTCGTTTTTAGTGCGTTTGGTAAGCAGAATCTCATTTTTAATGCGTTTGTTCTAGTTATGGTTAAAAAGCTTTCGTTTTTTTGTGTTATCATCCTTTGTCTCTTGAGTTTCCGAGCTAACTTAGTCGATTTTATAGGCTTAATTTGTCTTCGGAGTTTCCGATTTTTTATAGAACTTTGGTCCGATAACATTTTAAATATATATTGTTGCATGATAAAAAGAAAAAGTGATGCCATAGATATTTTTTGAAGCGGGTAAAAAATTATGTACATGACTTTTTTTTTACGCGCTATGTAAGAATAATAGCAAAATTGTAAACCAAATTTTGCACGCCATGAAATATTATTAGTGCATAATATTACCATTGTCACTTTACGTAGAACTTATTGCTATTTTACAACGTAAATAAATAACATTACCATCATCAATAAATTGATATAGAAATGTTCTCCTGGTCTCTCAAACTTAGAGGCGGGAAATTGGAGCCAAGAGAGGATAATCCGTGTAGCCAACAACTGGATCTTGAGTGTAAAACGTCTTCCGATCATATTTATTCAACTTAGCATCAACCCTAAACCGCAAAACCAAATCCGGGTTTGCGATAAACAACCTCCCAAAGGAAACCAAATCAGCATCCCCTTGTTGAACGGCTTGCATACCGAGCTCCTTGTTGAAACCTCCACTAGACATAAATGTTCCATTGTAAGCCATTCGCAAGCTCTTCATTAGCTTAGCTTCTTCCTCATCGCTGCCTTGCCTTCCCGACTCGGTTTGCCCGTAAGCGTGGTAGCGAGGCTGCGTTACGTGAAGGTAAGCCAGCTTCGAGCCATTCTCATCCTGTAACTTATTGAGCAAATCAACCACGGATAGCCCGAGGGTTAATGGGTCAGAATCAGTTGCATCGAGGTGGTCTATTGCCGGAGATATCCTCACACCAACTTTACTAGCTCCGATTGCTGAAACCACACCTTCCACTACCTGCACTCAACACGATTTGTTTCAGTGTCATGGCAGAAAACGAACAAACGTTAGTTTTTCAAAATTGGCATTTGTAGCAATGACAAGTTAGAATCTGTTGGTACCTGAAGTAAGAATCTGCAACGGTTTGCGATGGAGCCTCCATAATGGTCAGAACGGTCATTGATCCCATTCTTCAAAAACTGATCAATGAGGTAACCGTGAGCACCGTGGATCTCAATCCCATCGAAACCAGCTCGGATAGCATTCAAAGCAGAGTTGCGATAATCTTCCACCACTTGAGGTATCTCGGACGCTTGTAGAGGCCGAGGTTTGGGGTATTTCCCGTGTGAGCCATCGGGCAGCAGAATTCGCCACCTCTCTGAGATGGGTTGGTCCGTTGAGGATATTGGGGATCCCCCATTAGGTTGGTACACTGGTTTGTTTAATCAAACTCACAATATTAAAACAAATTCTTATGAAAAGAGTGTATATATATAGAGTAATAAAGAAGGAGACATACAAGGATGAGAAGCACGTCCAACATGCCATAACTGACAGAAGATGAAACCTCCTTTGGCGTGAACTGCTTCCACAACTTGCTTCCATGCCTCTACTTGTTCCTCCGTGTAGATTCCAGGCACGTGTGGGAACCTGAAAACAGCAATATATAATGTCTGAATGTGCCTGAACCAAAACATTCCTAATGGTGGCCCCAAAACACAATACACAAGACTCTAGCCTCTAATAGAACAATAACATTGATAAGAGTTGATATTTGAACACGACCAGAGATATTTCTTTCTGTAACAAAAACTAGTGTGGGAGGGAGGATACAAATCTAACTGTTTCCAAATTTCAAAATAATAGACAAACCTACCACAAATTATTACGCCGTTTATATGTTAATTTTACAGTATAGTTGACGTCATTTTAGTATTTGTTTACTAGACAGAAAGAGAGGTTTCATCGTTGACGAC